GACGCATATTTTGTTAAGAACATTATATAAATTCGGAATTTATAGAACATTGCTATGAATAAAAGAATACTATAAAATGAAATAAAAGTGTCTATTTTATGAAAATTATTTATTTCTGATTTTTAATTATAGTGTTTTTCATTATTCATGAAGGATATGGATATAACGGAACAGTATTCAAAATCAACTCCACAAAACAATACAAAATAGGAGCAGAACAAACGCGGACGGTTCTCAAAAACATCATCAAATTTTCCTACTTTTAATGCTCTATCTGTAAAGAAAAAAAAACAATGTCAAAAACGGATCAACTACAAACCTATACATACGACTTTTTAAAGCTTCGGATTTCAGATTATTAAACAAAGCAAGTTAAAGAGCCCGGATGTTGACCTAGTGACGTCTGATCATCATCTTCGTCTCTCTGACGTCTGCCCCTCTCCGTACAACAGGATACCACGGCTTCGTCCAGTCTCCCGAGGACCAGGGGCCGTTAAGGTAGGCTTCTTTACACCTGTTATACCACCACCCTCCCCCTCCTCCGAAATCCACAGCGCAGCTCCCTCCAGACACGTCGTTATCCCTGTCCAGGGTGGAGAAGGACATCCCAGACAGATCAAAGTAGGGACTCCCCGTGTCTAACATGCTGTCCCCTGGAGGATAAAAAAAACTGACTCAGTTCAAGGCGTTACATTAAATTCTTTAGAATTATTAAAATAATACATACATATTACTCAACACAAGGTATTCAATCAGATACATGAACTTCGTTTTGATATAAATAATATATCATATACCGTATAAATGTCAAACTAGTAACATGAACTCTGAAATGATTCAAATGAACTATACACACTATAGACAAACAAGTTATTTAAACTTTGATATAGCATTATATCACATGTTATGTAGATTATCGTTAAAGTAATCGAGTTACTGTGTTAATACTCGTTGTCAAATCTATTTGTTTAACTCGATTTCACTCAAGTAGGAACTCTTAGTGTCTGACATCCTGTCACCTGGAGAATTATGATACGCTTATTAGGCCTCACTACACTAAGTAGAAGTAAATAATACAATGGCTTTATGGTGAAGAACAAGATGTGTACAGAACAAATTGGCTTAGAGCTAATTGCAAAAAGGCTAACAGATTGCACTGTTTCTGACGTTCTAACGCTTTGCTTGTCGAGAGGTTTAAATACTACGTCCCATTCTCGCCACATCAAAAGAAGTAGCCGAGATTGCTTCGCTCCCACGCTAAAGTCGGTCAGCTGCAATATACATGTACATCGCCGACGTTAAACGGTTTAAAAAGGGGGACAGGCAGCACAAATCTTATTCAACAGTTGAAAAAGAGCATTAATGTATTTTTTAGAGTCCATGAGAAATTGAAGGTGATAATTTTATTTTTATAGCATTTGCCATTTGTGTACATGTATATATCACAATTTATATTGTATTAACACTAGCGAAAGGGAAAAAATGGGGATGTAGAAGAGACGATTGTTCCTTGTTACAGAAGCTGCCTTGGGATAGTGTTTGTACATACACTGAGTTGGTAAAGGGACCCCCAGGAGAGGGGCTGGTGAATTTTCTGTGTCAGATTATTTCTTTCATATCATCATGTAAGTCAGGTATGGATAACTTCTTTTTTTTCATCCGAAAAAAGTTTGACAAGCCAAAGAAAAAAAGTTAAACTCTATTTCGGTAGGGTTAGTTCAAAATATATTTTATTTATTGGACTGGATTGAACAGCATACTTATATGCCTATGATCCTTCTATGATATGTACTATATGTGATTTTAAAACTGTTGGTTATGAATATCATTAAGTTATGGAATGCAATTACTTTTCGAAAGACAGAGAAATATTTCTCCCAAACAGATATTGTAATAATCCTAACACTTTTAAATTCAATGGACTTTTGAGTAGTAATAATGCAACAATACAAAAATCATTATCAAAGTTTATAAAGAAAATTTTTTAAAACTGTCTGTCCTTCTTGAATCCTCCGTGTGTTTTACAGATAGCTGACTACATGTTTTTCTCACTCTTTTCTTTATATATTTGTCTATTTCTTAACCCTTGACCGCAATTTTTGTTTGTGTATATGTATATATGTACCTCTTGCATTGGCGTCGGAAGCAAATTGAAAGTGGGGGGGGGGGGGGGTAAGTGTAAGAAATTTTTTTTTGTACCTCAAAAACAAAAAACTTGACAAGCAAAAAAAAAAAAGTAAATGTCTATTTCCCAATTTTAACCTATACTAACACGTATCTGTGGAAAGTGGGGGGCTAAACTTACGGATATGTTCAATTTCTATACTAAGTATATTTTTGGAAAAAAAGTGGGGGGGGGGTTCCGACGCCTATGTCTTGTACCAGTGATATGGTTTTGAGCGAATAAAGAATTGAATTGAATTCTCTCAATAGGTCAAGGTACAATTACAAGTATATGACATTGATGTAAACATTGAAAAAAAATGTATGAGGAGTAGATTATCAATTGTTACATATTTATAATGAATCCAGAGAGAGAGAGAGAGAGAGAGAGAGAGAGAAAAGAGAGATCATAGAGTAAAACAAATAAATATAAAATGAATAATTTAACAATGAATAGAAAAATGATAATTATATGAATAAAAACAAAAAGAAAAAAAAATCGGGTGGGGAGAAGGGTTCGAAGTACCAGGCAAGGACATATTATTTTTCTCGCTGGTGGAGGATAGATTTTTTTTTTCGAGAACGGCCAATTTATTTCCAATATTTGCAGGAAGTGCATGTGTAGATAGATTTACGCTTTACATTCTGCCGTTCGGTGTCAATTATACTGAACATACAAAATTGATTAAAACATAACTAAATTGAACTTCAATCGATAAAATTTGAACGTCTCCCCCGGCTTTCCCTTTGCGCCATTTCTCTTGAATATATGTCTGGAGAGGGGCTCTATTTTTCAGCAGTATATTTTGTACTAATTTGCAACAATATCAGAATGGCTTGGATTGATACGCTTAATCAATGAATGCAATGGTCAATGACTTATGCAATAATTGATTTTTATACATGTGCGCAAATATAAAGAAGTTAAAGTTTGCGATAGAATGTAATAATCGACCAATTTAAATATTCGTAATGGACTGAAAAAAAAATCATAAAATGCTTTCATTGATTAATTCAAGTTTTAAAGACATTTAATATGCTGGTAATATTCAAGAAAACGACTTCGGGACTGTCTAGTCCACTTTTTTTACCCAACAAACAGCTGACCGACTTTAGCGTGGGAGAGACGCGATCTCGGCTACTTGCTTTGATGTGGTGACAATGTGACGTAGAATTTAAGAATTATGGTGAAAACGGTACCTGGTGAAAACGGCACCTAGTGAAAACGGCACTTGGATTATGCAAAACGGCACTTGGTCAAAACGGCACTTAGTGAAAACGGCACTTGGTCAAAATGGCACTTATAGAAAAAAGTATAATTATATGCAATGATAATTTGATATATAGATTGATAAATATTTGTGTGAGTATATATACATGTAAACATATATAATCTTTGTTTTCTGGGAGGGTCCATTTTTTCCCCAAGAAAACAATTCATGTACACACTGAATTAAGTTTTTATGAAATCTATGTGATCCTATATATAAAATTAAATTATGTGTGAACCTATGCATATACATACTTTTCTCCACAGATTCATACATTTAAATACCAAATTTGAAATGATTTTTTTTTTCATTTTACATGTTTTATTCCTTGAAATATCAGTATCTTCATCTTTTAGTCTCCTTTTTTAAATTACTGAAATAACAGCATAGTTTTTAAATATAACATTATTTTTAAAAACAAGATTATAAACAATAACAGCATCATTTTATCATCTAAATAAATTATTATTTGTAACCATGGTAACAATTAATATCAACATTGTTTCATTTTAATATTTAATCAATATAATTAAATAGAAATAAATTAATATTCTTCAGTTATAAAAAAATAACCAACAAACAAATGTTTTTGTTTTTCTATGTACAGGTTTCATATTGTAAAAAAAAACTTATAGTAAATGTTGTATGGCTATTCAGATTTTATGTACAGTTTAGAGAGGAAAATCTAAGTTCCAATCCCTTTGACATATTGTCAAGAAATACACAATAGTAACTGTATATGATTGCAAATTGACGATCAACAGATTATTGAGGGGGAGGTGTGAAAAAGTCTTTTGTTTCTTATTCCTACAAGTGTATTCTAAGGAAACATACTCTAACTGGCTTCTAATTAATCAACTGTGACTGCATGGCAACCCCCAAAACAGAGTAGTATACATATTTGTAATACTATAAATTTTTAAATTTCAAAGGATCGTGATAATATTATTTGGATTTAATCTCTGTTGTAGAAAATATTAGACATATAATTTAAAGAAGAAACATATTTTAAAAAATCTAACCACTGTACAAAAGTATTTTCCCCCTAAAATATTTTTAAAACATTTTTATCAATAATAATATACACATTTATTTCTATAAATGTAATATAAAGATCCATTTTCTGTATAAACAATATCAAATTCTCAAAATTAAAAAGTGCCGTTTTGACTTTTCTGAAGTGCCGTTTTGACTACTCTCAAGTGCCGTTTTGCATATTTCCTAAGTGCCGTTTTCACCAGGTGCCGTTTTGACTTGTACCCGAATTTAAACCACTCGACAAGCTAGGCGTTAGCACGTCAGAAACAGCACAATCCGTTAGCCTTTTTGCAATTAGCAATATAGGAATCATTAAAAACGACGAATGAATTTCACAAATAAAAGAGTCGTAGCATTATATATGTTACACTATTTTTCTTTTTGCAATGCAATAATCGATATTCTCAGAACATATTACTACAATGTATTTATATAATTTTTATGCGCCCTGATCGAAAGATCCGACGCGTATATTGTTTTTGTCCTGTCTGTCAGTTTGTCTGCAAACTTTAACCATCACCATAACTTTTGAACCATGAATAGTTGAGACTTCATATCTGGTATGCATACTTTATTAACTAATTTCTTTCAAACGACATGAAGGACAATGACTTTGTGACCTTGACTGTGACTCATATGCTAAACTATTTTTTAATGCAAACTTTAACCTTCGTCATAACTTTTGAACCATAAAAGATAAAAACTTCATACTTGGTATACATACACCATTGAATAACTTTTTAAATGACACCATAGTCAATGACCTGGTGACCTTGATTGTGACCCATACGCTAAATATAGCTTTTTTGTCAGCAAATTTGAATCTTCACCATAACGAAAAAAGATAGAGACTTAAGATAAGGTTTGCGTTAACAGGGAGATAACTCTTGCGAATCACCAAAGCGTTTGAAACAGGCAAATTTAAACCAGCGATGCTAAGCATCTCCGTAACGAATTTCCTCTGTTATACTTGATGTTTGTTGACACTAATGTTAGGGCTAAAAACGAAGGACCTTTTCAGGAGAAAGTCTTATAATAAATCAAAGCATAGGAATCTTAGAAGCCTTTGAGATTAGCGTGATGCATGTGGATGAACCAATAAAGGAGGACTTGTTTATTTTCGATACGAAACGTGGCAAGTTGCACGGCAATTAGAAGAAAGTCATTGACGCATTGTGCTGATGTGTGTTTCTCGCTTCACCACTACACTAAAAAATTTTAAGTGAGAATGGGAAAGAAAAAAGAAAAGACCTGAGAGTATCCAGTAAAGTATCATGCTATATGCAGTCCGAACCGGGAAGAAAAGTCACGCTGATTTGACCATGTCTAATAATGATGTTGACAGTTTGATTGTTGATAGTATTTTCATCAGGTAATTATTTAAATATTCAATTTACTGAAAGTTATGAATGATCTAATGACTAAAAACGATGAATAAACGGTACAAGGATGTCAGGATGTGACTAAATTATCCCAACATTGCCAAAAAATTAAAAAATGCATTCATTCAAGAAATTATGAAAAATAAAATCCTTGCTGTTTAGGCCTCAGAACAGGTATACAATTGTTCGAGTTACCTTTATAAATGAGGTTTGATTTCAATTAATATCTCATTTTCTAATTAATAAAAAATAGATACAGATTGTGCATGACAAGAACATTAATTTTCTTGATCAAGCATTAGCATTTCCAGTGGCGGATCCAGAAATTTTCAAAAGGGGGGCCCGACCAGTTTGAGGTCAGGGTAGTGGGCCCACAGCCACACCAAAAACATTGATTTATTAAATATAGTGTATTTTGGGGGCACGAAAGGGGGGGCCGGGCCCCCTGGGCCCCCCCTCTAAATCCGCCAGTGATTTCACTAATTCAATTTGTAAATTTTACAATAATTTCATATTGATTCTTCATTCATTATATTGGAAATTTATTCATTTCATTGAGTGAATGAAACTCAGTACAATTCCTTATGCTATTCAAAAAATGTAATTCTTTAAGTTAAATGATATTGTAAAAATGAACACATGTGATTTCAGATCATGGGTCATTAATTGGAATAGATAAGAACCAAATAAAAGTACTCCAGTGTTTCCTGAAAAGATTTGTGCCATCAATCAAAGTTGGATGGATCAAGCTAAGATGTTGAACCAGATATGGCAAAATCAATGGAGATTTGGAGAAGAACTTCTGACTTGTTATACCCAATGCATATTTGTCTATAGATACTTACATGTAACAAGTTTCTTAAAATGGTTTGTAAAATTGCAAGGAAATTAATACATGAACAATTAAGATTGATGTTTTTATTCATTAAATTTTGTTCTTACCAGGACCTTACCAGGACCTAATATGCTCAAATAAGTATTTCTGAAAACTGACAAGTTTTGTATATAAAGCTGCAGTGAACATGTTTTATTATATCTACTGTAATAGTTTAAAACATGACACTTGGGAATTGTAAGGTTGTTAATTTAGTATGAATGATAAGACCAATTTAGTAATCTAATAAAATTAAATTTTTTTCACAAATACATGTACCGGTAGTTTATTTTAAAATTGTTTACATTTATAATCTTTTCATTTTTTTTCTGTATTTTGATTTTAAAAAGCAGAAAATTTTGTTATATTTAAATTATTTCATGGATATCAAGGAAATATATTTATCACTGTAGCATTGTTTCTTTTTCCCTGTTCTTGACAAATATTTTTCATAATGACAGTGTTATGTCATTTTGCAGAATTTGCCTTTTCTCTGAAATCAGAAGTACACTGTAAACTCATTAATAAAGTATGAGTTGATGTCACTTAGAATTCATCTTTATTTTGTTCTGTCTGATATTTCAATTTAGATTCTAAGGCTATCTAATCCAATGATTGAGCTAATGTCCATGAAGTGTAGAAATAGGCCATCTTTAAAAAATGTTTGGTTGTCGGCCTCACCAGACCGACTGACTAAAATGACCAGACTGAAAACTTTTTTTTCAATGCAGGGCAATATTTTTTTCTTTTTATTCCTCTTATCCCCCTTAAAAAATGTTGCTGAAGATTTTCTCACCTACTGACCCAATAATTTTACCCTGAGTCAAGAGAGGGCAAACAAACATTACTTTAAATATGCATTTCTACTCTTCGAAATAAAGAAATAATTTAATTATAAAAACAGCAGCTTCGTGAATGCAATGCTTACAACATTTCACTCAAAAAATGGCATACATGTACTATGACAGTCACCAACAATAACTGAATAAAGATATTTTGCTACAAAGATGTCTAGAAGTTACTACATGTTGGAATAACTAATCAACATGAGGTCAAATTCATAGGCTTTTAATTGGTTTAGTTGCAACATGTTCTGAAGTATGTTTATATACATGTACTTCTAAAGGTGTTGCAGTATAATTCATGGACAATTTCATCAGAATATTCAGATGTAAAGATCGCATAAATACTAGAGTTCTTCCATGGAATAAATCTTTAGACCATCATGTAGCACAGGAGGAGTTTTATTTTGAATATTTTTGGCCAATTTATGCCTAAAAACAATATCAAAAATAACATTTAGTCTTTAACATTCACCATGACAAGGTGATATCAATGTTGTCTTTAAAAGTGTAGAAAAAGCCTGATTTTTTATGTTCCGAACCCATAATATAGCCCCTGTTTCCATGGAAACAATATTGGGGACATACATATTTTTTTAGTTCAAATTAATGAAAATGATCAAATTAATAACTTCATGGATTTTGATGGAATCGGTAGATATGTAAAACATTGGTTTTTATATTTTTGTTGCCATGGCAACGGTTTCACTTTATCAAGGAAAATTGAAAAATCTTCTTTTTTACCCAAATTTTCACATTTTTGATAAAGGAAAATTAAAAGTTTAAATAATAAAAGCATGAATTATACTAATTCCGGTCATTTTGATGATAAAAGTTTGATAATTTATAAAATAAATCAAGTTTTTCAATGAAAATAATATTCGAGGTGAAAAATGAAATAAGTGAAATTTGGCATCTTTTACTCAAAAAATGAGACGGGCAATATCTTTGAAAATCATATTAAGTGATGAAGCTAATCTCCCTGAATAAATTGATATATAACATGTGTGCATTTTAAAAAATATATGAGTTGGAGGGAGACGCAAACCTTACCTTAATATTTGGCATGTATTCTCCACTCAATGAGCCCTTCCAGATGACCCCAACGTCAATGACCTTGACTGTGTATTATTTGCTGAAAATAGCGTTTTTGAACTTTCGACATAACTTTTGAACCATGAGAGATAGAGAATCCATATTTGGTATACGTACGTCACTAATCAATTTCTTTCAAATGACACCAAGATCAATGACCTCGTGACCTTGACTGTGACCTATGTGCTAAAAATATTTTTTTTACTTTGTTGCCGCCGGGCGCATGGTGTTTCACAAACACATCGTTTGTAGCTACAGGGTGAAGGAATAGGCAGTATTTAAGAATAACATACTGTACAATCACGTATTTTCGAAGGTTCCAATTTTCGAGGTTTCATGAAAAAAAATAGTTTGTGGGACTTCATTGTTGTTAGGAGTAAAGCAAATAAAATTTTACATTTTGTGGGTCTCTGCATACCTCGAAAACAGGGAAAATTAAACCCCTACGAAAATTAGCGATCTCACAGTACCCCGAAATTATTTTTATCTTATTTAGAAAAAAAAAAATCATCGTTAAAAACGTGGGGTCTATTCATTAATAAGAGATTAAGGATGCATACATTTTGCTAGTAGAAGACAAGAAAGATTAAAAGTGACATATCCTTTTTATAGATTAAGTAGATCTCTATTTTATTTTCCTCCCTCTCCTTATTTTTCCTTTCTTTCTCGCACACTGTTACTATCTTTTTCACTTTCTTTGTTTTGATCAGTGGCGGATCCAGGGATAATCACACACTTTACTTATCACTTACCTAACGTCCCGGTAGCTGATCCTCCAAGAAAAAGTCTGTAGTTGTTCCTTTCATGAGACACAGAGAACTGTTGATAAAGTTCATATAAAGCTGTACCATTGTATGATGTAATGGAGACGTAGAGGGAGGAGTTTCTTCCCTTAGTAAGCTGGTGAATGACGTCATTTCCTTCAATAGTTAATTGTACGGGTGTATAAGGTTTCGAAAGTATAACTGAAATCGTTATTCAATTAATAAGTATTTACAAAGTATTAAAGAAAAAAAAATACTAGTATTTGTAAAAACAAATCATTTTACGTAAAACATAGACAAATGCAAAACATTAATAAACATTGCTTGATATATTGATATAAACAAATGTAAATAGATATTTACCAATCCAGTAGGAGTCACTAGGGTTACCAAATCCATCCTTGTACTCCGCCCACGTTCTGTTAAAACTTACGAATCCGCTCACCCGCTTCTGAATAGCCTAAGTTATCAACAGGAAAATGTCTTGAAGACTTACGTTTTTCAAATCTTTTTTTAAATTAATTTTTTTTGATAATTTCAAAAACATAAAAGAAAGATAGAGAGAAATCTTACTGTCCACCCGCCACCTTCTTTCTCCATATCACAGTATACATCTACCTGGGTCTCGTTACCGAAGGGGTTTATATTGTATACACCAGATTGTTTATGACCTTGTAGAAATTGATCCTGACAATCCCTGTTTATTTTTGAATCTGAAAAAAGAACGACAGATAGGGTCTCGTTACAGAAATGGTTTATACTGTATACACCAGACTGTGTATGTCCGTGTACAAAGTTTTTATTTTGGAATCTAAACAAAGGGTGACATATAATAATTATATAAAAAAATATACACTGAGAGAGAGAGAGAGAGAGAGAGAGAGAGAGAGAGAGAGAGAGAGAGAGAGAGAGAGAGAGATGGAATACCTTTCTTAACGGTTTCCAATGTTCTGTCGTTTAGAAGCTCGTAAATTTCTGCGATGTTTCTATTGAACTTCTGCTCGGCTTCTTCAATTTTGTTCTTAAAATTTATTGCTATCTTTTTGTTTTTTCTCCTATTTTCCCTGCTCAAAGAATCAACCTGTGTTTGTAATACTTCTATAGTCTGTTGTAAAGATTTTGTCTTGTTTATTTCAAAGTGTGATTCCAACTGTTCTATCCTTTGCTTTAAAATCTGGTTCTGACTAGTAAGATTATAGACGTGTCTTTGTAATGTTTCAGTTTTCTCTGCTGAATTCTTATCCTGTGTAAGAGAATCGACCTGAACTTTCAATCCATTTAGTGCCCGCTGTAAGGAGGAGACCGTGGTTTCTGTTGACGCCATGTTTCTCTTCAAAGAGGTAACGTCATCCACAGCTGCCCTGACGTCATTGACCACAGATACCCGGATGAGAGTCTCCTGGTTGATGAGCTGTCGCAGAACGTCTATTTCCTAGATGTCGCGTCTCTCGTTGATTATAGCTGTAGAGTTCTTATCGTTAGTACTGGGTAACAAGGAATCAGCCCTGATTTTGAATATTGACACAAAAAGCAGTACAAGAATTGAAAACATCATTTTTCTTATTTCGAAGTTACCTTACCAGAAAAGATCAATGCTGTGCCTGGATAACAGAAAAAGCCAATGTTTTTCGAGAACAGATGTCATACGGCATATATAGAGACAGCTGGGGATTTCCCCAATCAGATGACGTCATTTGTTGTGTACAGAGATATTTCTCGAGTTGTTAGAATATGCTGAATGTAAAAAAAAATCCCCAGAATATCTTACAGTACTTGAAGAAGTATTACAAAATTCTGACAGATGACATACTTATGTCACAAGAGAATTCTCGGTTATATCATTGTGTTGTTTGAGACGAAATGATAAAAGATAACAGAGCTAAAAATACTTTGGCAATCGGAACTCATTGTTCTTCTCTGTAGATAATAAAAGCAGAAATATTCTTACGACCTCACGCTAAGCATTTCCTTCCCACACGAATATGTAATTAATTCCTGGAAAACAGTAACACAAAGACGTTCTACCCTCCTACACATGGTGTGTGATTTTTTAAGGGGGGTTAAAATAAATGGTTATACGGAATGATAATTTTGACAATACATTTGAAATATAGATCTGAATTTTGAGATTTGTAATTTTTGTATTACGTAGATATTAGCTGAAATTGAAGTCCTTTCCATAACCATAAGAATTACCTAAAACATATTAATTTTATTAGAATGCTCTGTTATGCTTTCTTTTTACTCTCTTAGAAATTATTTGTAGGTTGATGCTCGTTGTATTCCTTTTCCCTGTCCTTACAGTGTTTATATATATCCTGAATAAATGTAACAAAGACACATACAGTTGCCCAATGGTCCACTGTCTTTATTTGAGCTACATTTATACGCTCTTGTACCCTTTGTTTAAGTTTATATTAATCAAAACACTTTTTAGGTCACCTGAGTAAACTCAGGTGACCCATTGCTATCCGTTTTCGTCCGTCGTCGTGCGTCGTGTGTTAACATTTGAACATTTTCAGCTTCTTCTCTGCAACCACTGAACCAATTTCAACCAAATTTGGCACAAAGCATCTATTTGTGAAGGGGAACAAAAATTGTGAATATCATGATCCCTGCCCCCCTGGGGCCTGAGGGGTGGGGCCAAAACCACTTAAATTAATGCAATCTTTAAAAATCTTCTTCTTTACTCCTGGACCGGTCACGGTAGCCTAGTGGTAGAGCGTTCGCTTAGTGATCGGGAGGCCCGGGTTCGATTCTCGATCGCGGCGCCGCGTCATACCTAAGACGTAAACAAAGGTAGTGACTGTTCCTTCGCCAAGCGCTCGGCACTAGAAGTGAAAGTCACGGGTCTTTCGGATATGACCTTAAAAATGTAGGTCCCGTGTCACGGTAGGCGTTTGGCACGAAAAAAAACCCTCACTGCTCAATGGCCCTGAGTGCCGAGTATAGGTCTAAATTTGAAGCCCTTCACCGGCATCGGTGACGTCTCCACATGAGTGAAAAATTCTCAAGAGGGACGTTAAACAATATACAATCAATCAATCTTATCTCCTGGACATCAGGCAGTCAAACTGTTTGCATGATTGTAATCAGCATTGAGTCCTCTACCAAAACTGTGAAATTCATGGCCCTTGGCTCAGGGGTTCTAGTGCTAGGGTGGGGCTAAATATGTTATACAGTGAAAATGCATTATTTCTTTGAAAGTCTTCTTCTCTGCTCCTGGGTATTAAATAAACCAACTAAGTACATAGTTATGATGAGCAAGAGTGCTTCTACCAAAATTGTGAATTTTATGGCCCCAGGGTCAGGGGTTCTGGTGGGGGGGGGGGGCTCTATTGATTATATATAGTGAAAATACATGATTTCTTTGAAAATCTTCTTCGCTGCCCTTTTGTATTAAATAAACTAATTAAGTGCATAGCTACGATGATCAAGAATGCTTTTACCCAAATTGTGAATTTTATAGCCCCAGGGTCAAGGGTTCTGGTGTTAGGGGGGGTTCTATTGGTTATATAGTGAAAATACATGAATTCTTTAACAATCTTCTTCTCTGCTCCTAGGTATCAAATAAACCAAGTGCATAGATATGATGAAGAAGAGTGCCTCAACCAAAATTTTGAATTTTATGGCCCCAGGTTCAAGGGTTCTGGGGGGGGGGGGGCTCTATTGATTATATGGTGAAATGCATGAATTTTTTTGAAAATATTCTTCTCTGCTCCTAGGTATTAAATAAATTAGAGCAAGAATGGCTCTTCTAAAATTATGAATTTTATGGACCCAGGGCTAGGGGCTCTGGTGTTAGGGCGAGGCTCTTTTGATTATATAGTGAAAATACATTAAATCTTTGAAAATTTTCTTCTCTGTCTCTGGGTATGAAGCAGATGAACTTCTTTTAGTTATGATGAGCAAGGGCCCTAATCTTGCAGAATTGTGAATTCAAGGCCCCAGGGTCAGGGGTGGGGGTGGCTCTACTTATATACGGAAAATGAATTAATTGTTTGAAATCTGCTCCTTTATATTCATATAACATTTATTTTTTTTTTTGGAAAGGCAATTTTAAGGGTGCCTTTAAAAATTTGTGCAATGTGTGGACCTAGGGTCAGGGGTTTATGTCACAGTGTTAGGGGCACTACTGATTATTGCTGAATATTACTGATAAGTTGAAATGCAATATTGTTCCCGTACCCTGCGTATGGGTATTCAGTAACCAAGCTAAGCAAGTGCTAAGTGTATTGTTATGTTGATCAATTGTGCCTCTTTCAAAATTGTGAATGCCATAAAGCATCTGGCTTAAAACATGAATCAAGTTCAATAACTGGAAAGTTGTTGCATAATGCTCAGGTGACCTATAAGGCCCGTGGGCCTCTTGTTTAATTTGTAATGTAAAATTTATGATGAATTTCTTCTTCTTATTTTTTTTTATTCTTTGTATATTTGATACAGGCGCAAAATCTCTGGTCACTCGCATCAAACTCTCAGTATCTTATATAAAATCTCTTAAGACACAAACAAAAATTATGAAGGTTCTTAACAGCAGTAACAAATTTTTAAATTAATGCCAAGTATCTGTTTTTCGTCTATTTTTATTTTATGCAGTATTAGCATTGATTTTTGTATTCACGGAGATTCTGGAGTTCTCGATCTCTCTATTTAATGTTCTATAATATTTAAATATGTATTCTCAGCTGATTATACACACACACATCAAACATGCAATCTAAATCCTATATGTACTCTTAAGACACAAACAAAAGATATGAGGGTTCTTATCAGCAGTAACAAATCCTTACATTAATACACAGCATCTGTTTTATTCTATTTTTATCCTATGTGACATTGTTTCCCCGAGATTCTGGCGTTCTCAAGCTGTCTATTATTATGCATTTGTTTTGTTCACCCACTGACACAATACCTGACCTTGGGATTCCCTAAACGTTTTTTCTCGATATCATACACAGTATCTTCTATTCTTAACTGATTATACACACACCAAACATCCAGTGCAAATCCTGATATCTTACTCAATATTTTCTATTCTTAACTGATTATAAACACACCAAACATTCGGTGTAAATCCTGATATCTTACTCAATATCTTCTATTCTTAACTGATTATACACACACCTAACATTCTGTGTAAATCCTGATATCTTACTCAGTATTTTCTAGTCTTAACTGTTTATACACACATCAAACATCCAGTGTAAATCCTGATATCTTACTCAATATTTTCTATTCAGTGTTACAGTGTAAATCCAACCTGTACAAAAATATTTGAAACACAATACAAAAAATTATTATATAAGGCTATCTTTCATGAAATTGTTCCCTTGCCCTATTTCGAACGATTTAAAAAAAAATGATTCGACTTTAAACTGTTTTAACATCCAGTAACAAATTTTATTTATGTACTCAGAACAATGAAGTTTGAAATTCAGTATAAATGTAGTAATTTGTTGGGAATAAAAGTATCCATCTTCTGTACGTACCTGCCCATTTTTTGTGTCTTGGTTCGGGAGAGGGAAAGCATTTTTCTTATCTTGGCCTTTATAAGAAATTATATTTTTGTACTATTTCACAGTACGTATTTCTCGTATAAATTATTCCACGCCTCCTTTATGTAGAAGACATGATGCTGCTCCTGAATATATATCTTATAATATCGATATAGATTTTATACAGTTTTTTTTTAATGTCATACATTGCAAAAAACCTAGCTGTATGTTACAAAAAGTATATATAATTTATAGTCTTACAATAATAAAAACTGACAAGTGGAATCCAACTGCATTCTATGCTATAAAAACTGGGTTATTTCTTAGTTTTGATTCAGAAAGAAGAATGCAAACGAGTGTGTTTTATTTTTATATTTCAGCTGAAAGCTTGTAAAGAGAATACAATGCTGAATGGAACATAGTCCATTTAATCATAAGAATAGATTGCAATGTACATATATAATAAGGTGTCGATATTTCTTTTCTTTGGAATTTCATCCCGGGCTATTATACAGTTTTATCAAAAATGTGTATATACTACATTGTAAATGTGAACACAATTTTTCAATGTATAATCTCATGCTTATAATTACTTTTTACAAAGTCCAGGAATGTCTTCTTAAATTTACTAAAAACCAAAGCTAACAAGTTTTATTATAGACTGAAAAAGAATTATTTTTTAATTAAAAAAAAACTGTTTTGGGGAGTTGAACAATGTTCAATCTCCCGTGGTCATCACGTATTTAACATGCACAGTAATGTGTGTTGATTATATAGAGCCGAAAGCGAGGATACTGTGTCGGCTGATTTACACCGATGATGTTCAACAGAAAACATGCATAAACATCCGCCACAAATAGTTCGTGTTATTTTCTCTTGAATTGATCAAATTTTCATAATTTGAAATGTAAGTAAATGTAATAATGATAAAGTAATCTTATTTTGAATATTAGATTTCGTTCAAAGTAAAACTGAAATATGAAGAAACTCAAAAGTTTTTCGTAATGGAACTCATTTTTTGTGTGGCGTTATACACTGAAAAAGATACGATCGACAACTCTACATACTAATAGCA